TCTCCCTGATAAAATGCAAAGCTATGAGATCGGAGGGGTGGGGGCAATGAGTATCTCTGTTGGTCATTAAACAAGAAGAGGGGGGGAGGGATTGCCCAGAAGTCTATGCCAAGGCTCAGACCCCATGCTGGCATCATTAGCACAGGCGGGGGCCAACTACTTACAGCAGTTGCCAAAACAGGAAAACAAAGCAGTGACATATGGGTGCGTTGAGCCCAAGCCCACCACCTTTTCCATGAGGTTAGTGGGGAGAGGCTTGATGTGGTGGGACAACTCTCCAAACACCATTGCACCCCATGCCATATTTCTGTTCCCTGTCCCGTCATCATACCTGTATACCTCTACCATACTGTGCCTCTCCCCTATAGCTGCCTCATACTTACAGATCATTACCTCCTGGAGGACAGGTACCTATGTTTTATATTTCATTTTATCTCTAGTGTCTTGCACTGACCCAGGCTGGGGCTCATCAAGCATTTGAGGAAGGAAAATAAGATAGTGAGTAAATCAGAGGTGAAATCATTGGCTCCTGAGAAAAAGAACAGGCTGGAATCAAGATTTACAGCTCTGCCTGGAGAAAGCACATCTCTCCTGCCCAGTTGTCTTCTCTCTTTTAAGGAGAGAGGAGACCACAGAGTATCTTGCAATCCCCAGTCACGCTGGCTTGTTGAACCTTTTCTGCCTTCTTCTCGTGGCCCTCCCCACTGGCCTCCCTTCCTTCCTACACACTGTATTGTCTGATGGAGATCTCTTAACCGTGTGACCAGCACAATGCCAAGCTCCATGGCGTAAAACAGATGTGCCCTAGATGGGCTTCCCATCCCTGTGGAAGGGCTTAGGGGGAGGGGGCTAATGTAGCTCTCACATTTTTAGCCCAGGCGCGCGGTCCCTAGCTTCAGTGAGGCAGCGGGATTTTCTGAGCAAAGGTCTGGCCTCATCCTGAAATGGAGAGGTTCTCCTGTTGTTCAAAGGAAGATGAACAGGGAAAGGAGTTCGGCAGAATAAAATTCTGACTTTCCGCTGTCCTGACTCCTTTAGCCTGGGTTCACTGGAGGCCATGCTGGTCAGAGGGCAAACTTAAGCATGCTTGGAGGACTTAGGTCTCTCCTTGCTCTCTTCTGGTCCTCCTGGCTGCAGATCGATGCAGTTTGCAGTGCTGTCTGCCCTGTACCCTTTAGGATCTCTAAAGGCCAGCATTTCCTCCAGAGCTTGTCCTCTGCAGGGGCACTTCCTTTCCCCTCTTTCCCAACCCCCACAGAGAGCCCTGGGAACTGCCGCTGAGTTGGGTGTCAGGAAGGATTAGGTTAAGCCTGGACACCCGGTGCGACGACTACCACAGAAAAATTTCCCTCCAGCGACGTCCTGCTCACGTCCGTTCCCCATCAAGATAAAGTTGCATTTAGAGCTCCCAGGGGACCACATAATGGATGGAGAGCAACTCCTTCTCTCAGCAGCAAGTGAACATCCTTCTCACTTCCCTCTCCGGCTAGAAGGAAGGGAGGGGGTAGTGGGACAGAAAATAAAAGAAAGAAAAAACCATGGTGACGCCTGTGGGCTCTTCATGGAATCGGAATAAGTGAATGTGTATGCTAAATGCACACACGTTTGTGCAAAAAAAAAATCCACAAGAATGTGGATTTATAGGTTTATAGAAATGAGATCTACTCTTTGGTGGCAATACAAACCTCCTTGGTGTGAGAGAGACCAGAAAGATTATTTATCTGATCTCTGCTTTTCCTAAGGACCCCCTTGCTGCTCTCCAGATCTCTTGCCCCAGATGTAATAACATCTGTTCTGGGCACTTATTATCACCAGGGCCAGCGCTTAGTCCCTGGGGATTCAGGTACCCTAACTGTGGCTCTCTCGGGAGACCTCTGATCTGCCTGCCTCATAAGGGCCACCTAATAGGTTGGTTAATTGATTGATTGTACTTTTTAGGGCTTGACATCACAAATTATTTTTTAAAATGGGGGGGAGGCGGCAGGTGCCATGGTGGTTAAGGGTGCTGGACTCCCACATGGCCGACCGTGGTTCAAGTCCCAGACCTGGAGATTTGCTTTCTCACTTTCCTTCTCTCTCTCTATCTCACTCTATCCCTCTCTGATCAAACTTAAATAAATAAAGTTAAATAAAATAATTCTTAAAAAAAAGGAAAAAAATGTTAGACCAGAGTTTGTGCCTGTTCTTTGAATTCATACATAAATTAACTTCATCCTGTCTCCTATGGAAGTAAAAAATATATGCAAGTAGAGCTAAGAGGGCAAAGTTCTGAAACAGTGGAATGAAAAAGAAAGTTCTATTTTCAACATTTGATTTCCTTTTCTCTGAAGCGGTTCTCTTTTCCTGTAGTTTCCAGCATAAAGTGTGTGTGTGTGTGTGTGTGTGTGTGTGTGTGTGTATGCTGAGGAGAGAAAAGGATCCCAACTACACCCTGTTAACTATTTTTTTCTTTTGATTACTAGAAGCCTCAGATCACCAGGAGCTCGTTTGAAACGTGGGTTTGTACACGGTTAAAGGAGACAAACAATAAGAGAAATGCACAATTTCATTTCAACAGCCTTTTCCGAGTAGAAAGCCCACGCTTCTTGTGGCTCCTAAGTGGCTGTCACTGGCGGTGCCTGACACAGTTATATTCACAACAACAACAACAAAGTATGCGGAGGAAATTAAATTATATGGAAATCAATAGCGTCTGACTGCTTCAAACAAATGTCTGTCACCGCGATTATTCTCCAGGAACCTATTTATAAACCTTAAAAGAAACCGGTTCTTGCAGCAAAAGACAGCAGCACCTTCTGCATTTCTGTGTTGTTATTCATACTGTATACAGAGGAATGAGCGGGCATAATTTAACATACAAATGCCCAGCTGTATACATTATATAACAGCTTGTTAGGCATCCCGGAGAGGAGGTGTGCCTAAGTACTGTACATATATTCAAGGCAGGGGGGGGGGGGGTACAGAGGGGCATGCGTGCATCTTGTCTTTCTCCCTGTAAAAGGTGCCTACCCTCAAACAATAGCTGGCTCTTCTGATCTTTCCAGACTCGTGGTGAGAAAGGTGAGGCGTGCAGTGCGCATGTCCGGACAGCTACAGGTGCATCACCTGCGCTGTCCTTGCTGGTGGTCACTATAAGAGCCGCTCCCACGCGCCTGTCGCGGCTGGACGAGCGCGCGCGCGCGTGCAGACGCACGGCGCCGCGGAAAGGGAGAGCGCGCGCCAGACAGACGGAGACAGCTGATGCCTGTCAGCACGGCGGGGCCGCGAGCTCTCGCGAGAGCTCCCCGGACCGGCCGCGAGAAGTGGGGCTCAGGTGTAAGAGGAGTGCATCCCGTCGGCGCGCGGGGCTAGAGCTCTCGGAGAAGCGGGACTGCGAGGCCGGCGCGCGGCGCGCTGCGCGGTCAAAGAGAGCATCGGGCGGC